CTGACCTCTGCCCACCAGGTAATCAGCAGTGAGCTATTCTGTGTTCCCTTGGTGCTGCTTCTTATTTGTCATATAAACTATGATAGTACAATGATTATTGCCAATGATATTTACATAAGATGGAGTTTTGATATAGAGCTTACTGTGTGCCAGATATTATGCTAAAACCCTTTCAGAGAATCCAGGACATCTAGCCTCAAAGCCTACATTTTTAATCACTGCTTTCCTCTCTTCTCCTTCTGACTGTGAGCTCAGGGAAGGCAGAGACCCTGGGGTATTCACTTTTATCTCACAACAGTGTCTACCATAGAACTGCTTGCAAAATGAATGAGTAAATAGTGCAGTATTCACAATCCTAAAGATCCTGTTTTCTGGTCTTCCATTAAACACTAACTGATTTACTGCTGTGAAGCCATTTAATAGATTTAAAGTCCCAAGTCAGTTGATTTTAAGATACAGAGATTATCCAGGAGGGCCTGACCCAATCAGGTGAAAAAGCAGGGAATTATCTCCAGCTAGTGGAAGTCAGACGGACTTCAAGAATAGAGGGATTTAACATGCTACCAGAGACATTAAGATGGGAAAGGCTAGGAGATGAGAATACAGGAAGCCTCTGGACATTGACAGTAGCCCTATATGACAGCCAGGAAGGACATGGTGACCTCGGTCTACATCCACAAGGAGATGAATTCTGCAAACAACCAGAGAGCTTTAAAGAGAATCTCCAATGCCACATAAGGACTATAGGCTCAGCCAGCACCTTAGTTTCATCCTAGTCAGGCCCTCAGCAGAAAATTCCACCACTAGAACCCAGGCCTCTGACCTAGAGAACTGTGAGAGAGGAAATGAGAACAACACTCATTCTAAGATGCTGCTATGTTTGTGGTAATTTGTTATGTTGCAATTGAAAACAAATACACAAGCAGGTTTTCAATTCTGTGGAGATGTTAGTGGTCAGACTGCTGACCAAGGGCTCCACTGAGCCTTGAAGAAATCAGTGTTGACTGAGATCCAACATCATGGAGTCATAGTTGAAGAAGTCCACACCCATCTACAAATGAATCAATTCGATAGGGAGGTAATGTTCTACAGTGGACAAGGAACAGGAAATCCCAAGTTTTATTCCCAACTCTGCCATTGTCTCACTGGGTGACTCTGGCAAGTCATTTTAGGTCTTTGAAAAACAGTTTTTTCGTCTACAAGATGGAAGTCTTCATATCTACCTCATCCTTTTCACAAGGATTAGGTTAAAGTTAGATAGCAAGTCCACAAGTCATAAGTTATGACCAATTCTAGAACATAAGGGATTCTTCAGTCACCCAGAGGGTTTGAGGAAGAGCTACACCAAGTTTTGAGACTAATAAAATTCAAGTGATGAGACATACCTCCAAGGGCTTTTGATCACAGCTGTTCCATCCCTACTAAGAAAAATGCTGCTTTCCCTGTGGCTCCCTGGGAGAGTAATGATCATCATAAAAATAATGTCTCCTGGTCCAACAGCACGTTTTAAAGTGCTTTCCTCTGCACCATTTTAATTCCAATAGCTTGCACCAGTTAAAGGAAAGGTGGACTAAGGGTCATTCTAGCTCTGAAAGTTATGAATTCTACATGAGAAAAGTCTCATCCATTATAAGAGCATTACCCATTATACAGAGCAAGAAGACAAAGACCCAGCTAGGCAGGAGACTTTCTAAATTTATAGGGTTGGTCAGTGAATAAGCAAAGACTCTCATTCCCAGTCATGGCTTCTCATAGCTCCAGATCCCAGCATGGAGCTAGGAAAACACAGTGTTCTTGGATGGAGGCCCAGCTCCCCCCCTACCAGGTCTGAACTAAAGTTGGGGAAAATTACCTCAGACTCAAGTTCCCATCTTATGGATCTGATGCAAATGAAGCATGTAATTATGTCACATTTTGAAAGTCTCTTCTTCCAGCCCTCCAGTCATCTGATAGATGGCATTACTGGTTGATAAGCAGCAGAATCTTTCCTTGGTATCTTCATTAAGAAGGTGGGGGCTGCAGGCATGGCTCATGTAGCCTAGCAAATGAAAAGCCCTGAGTTCAAACCTCAATTCTACCAAAAAAAAAAAAGTGGAGAAATGGGGACTACCATGGAGGGTAAGCCACTTACAATAATCATCAGATAAATATTAATTAAAAGAGAACTGGGAAGAAGAAGCCTTTAGCTTGGAGCCTGGAACTTTCTTGGAAAGTCTTTGAACTGCACTGGATGATCCTGAACTCGGGATGACTTACCTGGGTCTCTAGGTTCAATGCTGTTGGAAAAAGAAGAAGCTGTCCTGAACACTTAGTAGTATGCCATCTCTCCAGATTTCCCAGACCATTAGCAGTTTTCAATTTTCCTGACCCTGACAATTCTCCCAGTCTCCAGAATGCTATGTGTGTGGAGCCACTGGGTAATGAAAAAGCCTGCATTCATGCATTCATTCGTTATTGAAAACCTATTCTGTGTTGGGTACCAGAGACACACAACTAACAAGTTCTTTGCCTCCATGCAACTTAACAGATGTCAGATTTCACTTGCCATGAGAGTAGCATGTGGTAAGTATTACATTTGAAGGCTGAAACTGTGATGAGTGGGATGAGGTCTGAAGGATGCATAGGGGTTGGTGTGTTGATTAGTGACAAGAGCATTATATGCTAAGGAAAGGAGCCTTCTGAAAATGAGGGACCAAAGAGCAGCATGGCCAGAGCCCAGAAGTATGTTGTTGGATGGCAATGGAGAGGGAGCCAGGGGCTATAGGGTCCCCGAAGAGTTTGAACTTTACTCCAAGGGTTAAGAGGAAAGATTTCATGGATTTTAAGCAGGGAACCAATGTAGTGCAATCAATGGTTTTCAAAAAATCCTGCAGGATGCCTTATGGAGTTCTGATTAGGCAGGGAAGTGAGGGCACAGGGGGTTGAATGGAGGCAAGCAGTCCAGATTAAACATCACTATGGTCATCCAGAGGGAAGAAAGCAACTCCATCTTCGGTGGTCTAGACACATGTATCTGCCACCTCATAGGAGAAAAGAGAACTGGGCTAGTTAATCCAAAGTCCCAGTGTGTACTAGTCCTAGTGCCCTGGAAAGGTGATTTTGCCTTTATGCACCTATTTGCTGTACTGCTCCCTAGAAGCCATATATCCTTGATACCAAATCACAGAATACCAGAGATGAGAGGAGTGTGAGAGGAAACAGCTGGTTGCTGGCCCCAAATGCCACTTGAGCCCTCTTCTGTCATCCTTAGAGTTGTGTCCCCAGCACTTGGTATCCTAGGGGACTGAAAGTAGCCACCAAAATACAATATTTCTGTCAATAGTTCATCACCTCAGAAACAGGAACACTCTCTCATTTCCAGGATAACCATCACAAATGACGTATCACCCTATCCATCAAAAATACTTTCTTCATGTATGGTTAGTGTGTGTTTTCCTGGAGCATCTGTCAAATGCTCCTAAGTCAGGTCACACGATATAGGCCTCATGCCAATCTTCCAGTGAACATGTCTCTCCATGCCTGCTCCTCTGGTTACATGCATCTCTTCCTGTGGCTCTTCTTCATGTGGCAAAGCTTTGCTCCACTCTTCTGATCTCACTCCTTTGAATGAATTTCCTCTTTGTTATCTTCTTAATGGGAAGCATCCTGTGGCATTATGTCCCACATTGCAAACAATTACAAATATCTGTTGAGTTTCTTGTCATCAACACAGTCTGCCTTCAGTGAAAAGGAATCTCCTGGAAGATGAAACAAAGCAAAGTGCAGAGGGAGGCAAGAATGACACAGAAGAGGTCATGCAGGGTTTTATAAGACATGTGTAACAACAGAGTGAGCCAGCAGGCTTGGGCACAGCTCCTAAGGCTTGGTATGACTTGAGACTCTCGAATTTCTTTATCTATAAAACTCAGGATCTGGATTGGTGATCTCTCTGGTTGTTAAAATTGTTAAATGTTAGGTTTTATTTAAGTGCTGTCACTTATTAAAGGCTCTGAGCTTAAGACTGTCAGAGTATCAGTTACAAAGGGCTTTAAAATACAGTAGCTCTAGGGTGAGACTTCCTTAATAAATAGAGTGGAGTGGAAAGATAAATGGAATGCAAATAACTTTATCACTGAATGTTTCAATATGAATTGATGCCATGTCTGTCTACCACATAAAATTACCCAATGTAACATCCATGTCATCCTGTTTTATCTTTAGGAAGCCACAGAATTTTTAAGTTCCCTAGCAAAATCAGAGCAATCACAGTGGGACTCTTGGCTGGTCATGTTTCTGTTCATTATTTTGGGCAAAAGAGTAGGACTCTGAGAAGTTCAAGGAAAATCTTGTCACCTCACTTATGATTATTTTTATTTTTCTCTGTGGCAGTGTGAGAGGTGAGATTGTGCTTACATCCAATGGTGACATTCCCTGCAGTGGTTGGAATATGGTTATTCTCATTCTATTTCCAATATAGTCCTCTTTCCCTTCCTTCTCTGCCATCATTTTGGTGACCTTTGCCAGCCAGGAGAGCGATAATGAGAAGACAGTTTGACCAACATTTCTGGACCAATTACGGTGTGCACCATGTGTCTTTGCACATGATGCTTAGTTGCATTTTCACTCATGTGTATGCATAAGTATTTGCTACAGGTGCAACTTCATTTGAAAGGATGATTATATGTGCTTGTGATTTCATGGGTGAGCGTTGATCTATCTGTGTCTTTGTTGACATGTGTCTTGATGTGTATGTATGTGTAAAGTGAGTATGACTATGTGCCTATGGACTTTATCTCACTCCTGAAGGGCAGCAACCCTACAGCTCCTTATCTGTCAAAAGATGGAAATGTGAAATCTCTCTGGCATTTGAATTCTCACATCTTGTTGACAGAGGAGAAGGCTGCAATAGGGTTTGACAGCTCTGCTGACAGGGCTCAGACTTCTGGCTCTCAGTCCCTCCCCACAGTCTTATGCAATTGATGTCCGTGCTTCTGATGCCTCTTCCTTTTGGCCTGCAGGTCCCTGTCTGGCCGCATCGTTGGTGGCGTCTGGTGGTTCTTCACCTTGATCATCATCTCTTCATACACAGCCAACTTGGCTGCCTTCCTGACCGTGGAGAGGATGGTATCTCCCATAGAGAGTGCAGAGGACTTAGCAAAGCAGACAGAAATTGCTTACGGGACACTGGAAGCAGGATCCACTAAGGAGTTCTTCAGGGTAAGGTCATCCCTTGTCTGGAGGCTCTTTCATAAAAGGGATAGCCACTGTCATTAAAATGTCATTCTCCTCAAAGAGCATGGTATTATAAACAGCCTTGAAAGAGTGCAAGTCAGGGAAACTCAACATTTCTCAGCTCTCTGCAGACCCCTGGGAAATCTGCATTTCTACATTTGTAGAAGCCTGAAAGCTCTTGCATTGAATTAGACCTCTCCCATACACCAATCTGTGCTGATTCTCTGAAGGCTGCAAAGGACATGAAATACAACTCCTTCCAGATCCCACAAGGACCTTCCAGACTAGCTAGTAATCAGTTTGGAACAGTTTATGGACAAGATCCATACATGGTGTTCTTTGTGTTCCCTCCTATCTAATAGCAGAGCTCAGTAAATACTTGTTTACTATGAATAAGAAGAAGATATGTTGGGAAAATATACTTGGAATAAGGTGTTGTATTAAACAGTGCCAGGAGGAAGAGAGAATATGAAGGGAGAGAAGAGGTGGTGAGATGTCTTTGGGCTGAAGGCAGTGAGCATAGGCAGAGAGCTCAGGAGCACAGCCTTCAGGGCCAGCAAGATGGAGGGGTAGAACTTGGCCCCATAACTTATTGTGCTGCACATTCAGCCTCTAGACACCATTTCCATCTATTTATAAGATGAGAATAAATATTTCTATTTCAAAGGAACTTGATGGAATTAAAAATGATAAAGCATCTAAAACACAAGGGAAAACAAAATAACGATGAAGGGAGACTCCATTTCCCATTAGGGTTTCGAGGAAGTACAAGCATTTAGAAGCCATCTTGAAGAAGGGGTAGGGATGGAAGCCATGTGGGAAGACCTGAACACATTTCTAAATATCATAAAACCAAGTCTGACCTGACTTGAAGAAGATAAGTACATTCTAGGCAAAAAAGAACAACTTGATCAAATGCTAAGAAGCATGATAGCCTGAACTTTTCATTCTAGGAGTTGAATAAATAGTATGTGGAGCTATGATGTACTGATCAAATAAAAATAAGAAACAATCACTACCACTTCCTTAGCACTTGTTGTGAACAAGGTGCTGTGCTAAGCACACCCTGGAAGAATTTCCTCATTTAACCCTCTCATTAATGGTCTGGGGCTCAGAGGCAGTGTGCCAGAGCTCCTGGATTCAATCCCAGAAAAAGAAAAAGAAAAATATCTTAGCCCCATCATTAGTGATGAATTAAGGATTGCTGTCCCCATTCAGCTGAACCTCAGAGAAGTAAAAGTAATTGCTGGAGTCACACAGCTAATAGATGGAAGAAGCTACAGATAGCAAGCTGCTGTATTGCTCATGCAAGAGGCCTGGGATCTTGTGCAGATTCACCCAGGCTCTCTCTGCAACTTCATGGAGTAAACCCCAGATTCCAGGTGACTCTCTGGGATGTGTTGCAGTGTCTAAATCATAGACTTTGTATTCTGAGTGACCAGCAGGAAATGGACCAAAGTCTTAACCATCACAAATCCAAAACTAACATCATCGATTTTCAACCTTGCAATATGAAGATGTCTAAGCCATCCCTGGTAGAACCTATCAGAGAGAGGCCTGACTTGTTTAAGTTTACCAGCCAGCTAGAAGAAAAACTATGTCTTAGTCTTATTATTGTTCTCTTACATTTTAGCCTACAATCAAAATGTGAAGGAGGTCCATGATATTTATTCATAAAGCCAACCCTGTGCCCCAGCCCCCAAAGCCACAGAGGAACCATGAAACTCTTAACAAAGATGCCCTCTCTCTAATATATAGCTCATTGCAGTCCCCCACAGTGACTGAAGCAAAACAGGAATCATGGTGTCCACATGGAGAGAAAGAAATTGAGATTCAGGGAATCTGTAATGCCTGTGTCATGAGTAGCTACCAAATCTGAGTTTCCTCATTCCTATTTCAACATGATGATGTTATTAACTGATAAGTATTCTTAAAAGAATAACTCCAGTTGCCATACAGACCTGACCGTTTCACAGTTGGGGAAACTGAGGCCCAGAAAAAAAGATAGTCATGTCTTAATTAATGAGAGACATTGCTAGAACTTAAGACTTCAAAGATCTTTGTTAATAGTGTTAACTGACATATTACTGCCTCTTGTTCACAGCACAAAACTTGGAATCTGGAGCCAAAATTGTGCATATTCTGAGTTTGGTGGCCTAACCAGGGCTCTTATGATCCTGGCAAATAGGTTGTAACCCATGCACTAACTTGAATTGATTGATAGTGGTTTCCTAGAGTTCTATCCTGAGAGGGATTCTGAGGTCACACTAGGCTCATTGTCAAAGAATTCTTTGATATCAATGCCTGCCATGTATATAGGAAGGGAAACTGGTACCAAACAAGCCATGTGTTGAGCATTCCTACCCTAATATAAAACTTAGTAGGGGGAAGACATAATTACTATCAGTACCACTTATAGAATATCTTTTTTTGTGCCAGGCACTGGGTTAGCATTTTACCTATGTTCTCATACAATCTCCATGGACACACTGTCAGTGGGTACTGTTATCACCATTGTCAGAAGAGGAACACTGTGACTCAGAAAGGTTATGCTTCTTGCCCAAGGTCCTGAAGCTATTAAGACATAAAGGCTAAAATGAGGGAAACAGTTTGGGTTGCAGTGGAAAGGCACAAGGTGTGCCATCAGGAGACCAGGATTTTATTCCTTGTTCTACTTCCAACAAGCTGCATGACATTGGACATCATTGCCACATCACAGGACTCAGTTTCTTTACCTATAGGAGAATATTGCAAAGATATATCCCTTGAGCCCTTTGACCACTGTGACTCTGACCTTTTATCCCACCAAGACTTCGATGGGTGGGAAGACAAGATCACCTACCACCCCCACAAGGCAGAAGAAGCAAGTATTGAGGCAGGAGTTCTTTAATACTCCCATCTCTGAAGAATCTGGTTTCCAGTCCTCATGGCAGCCCAGAACTTCTTGACAGCCCCTACCCGGAGTCATTTAATCCTGCATGGACATTTTAATTAAGATGTGTGAAGGACCATGGGAGCTGGAGGTTACAGTAGAGATCCAGGAACAACTACCCCAGTATGCAACCCTCCCTGCCACTCACGCTGCCTTTGCATTGCTGGAGATTTGATTTTCCCAATAGCCCTCTCCAGGGCCTGTGAGGGCAGCCTTGCTGTCTTGAGCACTGGGGTGAGACTGAGGACATGTGTTAATTTTCTGCATACTGATGCCGGAGGGCTCAGCAGCTCTACCTATCCACAGCCCAGTTCCTTGCTGTGCCCATCCTGTCAGGGTGAATTGCATCTTGCAGTTGTCCTGCTGTGTGTTTTGTTGTTTTGTGCCTAGAAGATCATCTGCAAATCTGGTCATAGCTGAATTTATACATTTCACTGTTTCTATGAGAAGATGTTAAATACATTTCAAATGATATGATTGGGTATGGGTAGATCCTCCCCATCCTTGGAATCTTCCCTCCCTTTTTTCCCTTTTTTGTCATACATTGATACTGTACCTTCATATAAAGAATCAGATATGCCATACTAACACTGGACTTAAAAATTACCAAGCCCAAATGGAGAAACTAAGGTCCAAAGAGAAGGAATTTTTCATAGAGCAAACCATGACTTAGAAGTAGAACCCACACTACAACCCAGGATTCTTCATGCCCAGCCCAGTGTCCTTTCCAAATTGTAAAGTGTACTATGAAACAAATGAACTACTTTACTTAGAAAATGAGCTATTAAAAATTTAAAATCACAGTACCAAATACCTTCCTACAATTCTCAGTAACTATCTCCAATCATTTTTCAAGATTTAGATGTTTTCTGGGTCCTAAATATCTGTATAGATGAGTTGGTTCAAGTAACAACTGTTTATCAGTATGTTGCTAACAATTGATGTTGATTGCTATCAAGGAAATAAACCTGATACTTGTACACAAATAAAAATCATATAGTGCATGTTTAATAATCATTTTATATTTAATAAATATGTGATCCATTTAATAACCACTGTAAAGGTTATGTTACTCTACACTAACTATCTTTAAAACAACAGTCTCATACGTATTTAACACTTGTCCATTTATAAGAATTTTTAAAAGCCATACTTTAGAATCCCTAAAATACTCTTGGGAAAAGGACATCCTTTGGAAAGAGTATGTGCAGATGCAAGGTCCTGAATGGTGGGCTCTAGCTAAGGGCCTACTATGTGTAGGGTGCTTAGTTAGACTCAGAGAAGGACCCAAGAAGAGCTGCCCTCACTAGCTTGTACACACATGAGACCTGTGCACAAGAAGGAATGATTTGCAATCCTAGTAGTCCAGCTGGGCAGCCTGGTGGGTGACCCAAACAATGTGTCCTATAGGATATCAGTCCTCACAATACTGTTTCTCAAAGCGAGGACCACATGGGCTGTTCAAATTAGGACCACCTGATAGGGCTATGCTAAATCAAAATTTATGGGCTTAGAACAGGGAATCTGTAACACTGGTGTCCACTAGAGGTTAAGAACTGTGCCCTCAGAGCTGAGGTGGTCTCCAAATACATAGGATTTTCTCCAGTCTCTGAAAAGAAGATGTAGCTGAACAGGACCAGCATATCAAGTGGAGCAAACAACCCAAGCAAAATCCCAGAAGAAATAAGGCCCAAGATGTGTTAGGAGGAAATAAACAAAGCAGTTTGACTAGATTTGGAGGCTTTTAAGATGTAAACAGGTGGGTTGTCACAGCCATAGAGCACTTGACTACAAAGCACAAAACCCTGAGTTCAAACCCCAGTACCACACACACACACACACACACACACACACACACACCATAAACAGGTGATAGTACTTGGTCCCAAGTTATTAACTTTATAAGACAACTTACATTCTGAGGGCAGTCCTTGCAATATGAATAGTATGAATGATTGGAACTTGGCAATCCATGATCTACAAATTCTTCACTGTTGTCTTCCAATAATGAAATCAGCTCTCTACATCTTTTGGGAAGTATTAAATGGCCTTATTGAACAATAGATAGGTTCTACAATGTCTTTAAAAGTCATACATGGACCCATTTTCTTAACTCTCCCAATATTCAGAAGAAATATAATTACTCCGAAGTAATTAAAAGATCCTGAGCTATTATGTTCATTCTGTATTTGAGGATATTTGTACTTTGGAACCTAGTGGTACTAATTAGAGCCTCTTATTTTGCAATCACTCATAATTTGTTTCTTCCTGAGCTAATTGGCTCATGAATGTGTGATCAAGCTATACTCAGCTCTTCATTAATGTGTATGCCGACCCCAATTCAAGCACAGCAAGCACTTAATTCTGGCTTTGTTCCTGTCTCCTACCAGAGGTCTAAAATTGCCGTGTTTGAGAAGATGTGGACATATATGAAGTCAGCAGAACCATCAGTTTTTGTTCGGACCACAGAGGAGGGGATGATCCGAGTGAGGAAATCCAAAGGCAAATACGCCTACCTCCTGGAGTCCACCATGAATGAGTACATTGAGCAGCGGAAACCATGTGACACCATGAAAGTGGGAGGTAACTTGGATTCCAAAGGCTATGGCATTGCAACACCCAAGGGGTCCGCCCTGAGGTAAGTAGCCTAGATCTGCTTCTTTCGTACTCCCTCTGCCCTCCCTATCTCAGGAATGAAGCTGTTTGGTCTGCCACATGGCTCCATGCACAATGCAAGCTGCCACTCAAGCTCTTCTTCACCACCTGTGGGCCTGGAAGATTCCAGCCACCTGAGATCTTCAGCCCTGAGGTTGGAAATTGACCTGGGAACCTCAGCTTGCTGTGACTGTCACTGCCATGTGTTTTTTCCCATGCCTCATCCTACCCTTCATCCTCTGAGTGTGTTAAACATCGATGAACCTTATGTTTTGGTACTGTGATCTGTTACACCCCATCCCTTACCAGACATCCCTGCATCCAAGTAGACCATGAACAGGGTTCTCCAGCAACCTGGATCCTTTGACAGGAGATGGTTTGTAATATTTGTCTCAAAAGAAACATAAATACATTGTCCAAATGAGAAATCAAGCAGTTTGAATCTTGAGACTCACTCAAATTGAAATAGCACCTAACGAATACCAGCAAATTAATAACAGCATGTGCTCCTACTTACACATTGGTTTCTTTAGCATGACCCAGGTAGTTTAGCAAAAAGGCAAAGTGGCTTTTATTTTCATGTAAAGAAGTTCTGCTAGTCATTCTAAATAACTAAGGAAGAATCCTGGAGACTTGGAGTCAGGCAAACTAGGTTTAATTCTGGAATTTGCTACTATGTTTCAGAAGGTAGAACATTTCATCTCCTGACCCTAAATTCCCTCACCTGTATAGAGAAGATAATTAACCTAGCCCTTCCTAGGTCCAAAGTGATTATGCGTTCAAATGGGATACTCTACAGAGAAGATAACTGAAAGTATAGTGTGAAGTCACCTGTGAGAAATTACATCAACTGCAGAAGGATTAAATCCATTTGAGGGAAAGGTAGCATTCCAGGAAGACTAAAGATAAAGAGTAGCTCCACATCAGGGTCACTTCTGCCTCACTTTGTTTGTTCATTTCAATAATATTGAGCCCATAATTATTCTAGGAACCAGAATAGTAGCTGGAGCTACAGTTTTGAATAAGACATAGTCCCTTGTCCCCATGGAACTACATTATTGCAGGACAGACAGACATTAAATAGATTATCATTTTTTAATGTTTAATGACAGTTATTACAGATACTAGGATAGTCTATAAAAGGGGCCCTAGAGGACATCTATTTCCAGCAATATGGTAGAACAAAATTCTACATATGCTAGATAAGATATAACAAATAGCCTTTTAAATGCAAGTTAGAAAATCTCTAGGGCCAGAAGGAAAAAATAAATCAAAACCAGAATGAAACACATAAGCTAATTATTCTGGGACTGCCTTAAGCAGGGCAAAGTTATAAATTATGTGACAATCTACATGTGCAGAATCAGCAGTACAAATGAAGACATGAAAGTAATCAAAAACATTTTTAAAAGAAAAAACCATCATTAAAGATCAGATACATCTGATAAAGTTTGAATTAAGAATTTATGGAAATAAAAATATATTTCTTAATTGACACAAACTCTCAGTGGAAGTGTTAAACAGAAAATTAGAAAAATCAAAAAGAGAATTAAGGTTCTTGGGAAAAATCAGAGAAAAGCTTTCATGATATCACACAGGGAGAAGAAAAAATATATAAGAAAGAAGTTAAGAAACATGGAAGAGAAAAACAATCAACGTGTTAGAGGTTCCAAGTAGAGTAGAGGCAATATTTTGAAGGAATTTTTCAAGAACTTATAGAAAACATAAATCCTCAGATTTGAAAATTGAATTTTGGTCAGGAAAAATGGATGAAAATCACCAGCTTATTCAGTAGAAACTGAAGAACAATCAAGACAAAGGGAAAATCCCAAGCACATTCAAATGAAAAGGCCAAATAGGATCTGTAGGATGGGTGGAAGATTTCTCCAAGGGTGCTTTTTTCAAAATGTAGTCTGACATTCATAGCAGAGGAAGGGGAGCAAAAGAGTAGTCCAGGCAGAGAGGACAGCATGCTCAAAGACACTAAAGCAAGAAATCATGGCACAATGATGAGCTAAAAAGAAGCTAAATGTTACTACAATATAGGTAATAAGAAGGAGAAAGGTTAAACTGAGATTGGTAATGGAGTAGGGAAAGATTTTGTTAAAGACTTTTGTCCTTACTCAGACAATTAAAATGATTAAAGAATTTTAAGTAATTATTTGAAAATTAGAGAAATAAAGATATCTGCAGCTATGTAGAAGTACCTGAATATGACCTAATGAAGAGAAATGAAATGGTCTGGTGTTTATCAATCAGGTATTTTTGCCTGGAAGAACTTTTAAGACTCTTTGTACAAGTTTGGGCAAAGGGTAAAGGAGATCCAGCCAATAGTATCTGTCAAGGAAGTGATTGTGTCTCAGCAACTCATAGAACATCATTCTAGACAGAGCCAAGCACAGAATAAATTCGTAAAGGTCTAGGAAAATCAATGGTACTGCAGTATTAAAATTGTTGTAGGTTTTATGAGTCAGGGACATGATTGGAACTAAATATTTGCTTGTAAAATTAAGAAAACTAGACACAGAGAAGTGATATAACTTGTCCAGTCAACAGAGTACTTCTGCCACCCCATCCCCTACACAGGTGCTTGTAAGAAGGTGACAACTGAGAAATGTTGACTGACATGAACCTAAAACTCAGGTTTTCTACACTCAAATATGTAAGAGCCATCAGCTGAGTGCCTAAGTGCCACAGGCCATGGTGCTTGCATTATCTCCTATCATCAACACTATCCCTATGCACTATCCTCATTTTACACATGAGGAATCAGAGGAACAGATTCAAGTTTCCTGACCGGATTGACATAGCTAATAAGGTAGGCACCAGATTTTGAGGCCAGGCAGTCTGATCAGAGCCCAGGACTATAGCTCACTCTAACACTGTACCGGGCTTTATGATCCACGGCACACTAAAGGCAGGACCCTGGGCTCAGGCCAGGTTTCTGTACCTGTTCTCATTGGCCAAATAAACCATCAACTGAGGAATAAAAGAAGACTGTTGGAGCCATTTACTCACTACTCTAAAGGCAAAAGGCAATAACAGACACTTACTTTAAGGTATCAAGCACCACTCCTTTGAGTAGTAACACAGCTTTTATAGGTTTTTCCATGCTCAAATATTCTTTCTGGGCTAGATGCTAAAAATAATTCAACTCTGCACTTTATTTAAAGCATTATTTCTTTTGCTTACATCTCTGTAAAAGACATAGCAAGCCATATATTGTTTTTTTGAGAATGAGAGAACAAGAGATAGGGAAAGAAAAATGAAAAGGGACATCTTTCAGTTACAGATCAGGGATAGCTAATCTGCAAGTCAATAATATACAACTGATAGCCACTCATTTCCCTCCCTCTCAAAGTGCTGCTTCTCTCCAGCGACACACTTAGTAATAGCCATGACTGAAGAACAGTGGAGTAACCTCTCTTGCTCTCTTCTACCTCTGCTTCACAAACCCCAAATGGTACCATTTCACCAAGATATGGTAAAATACCAAAGTCGTGGCAGACCAAATGTCACAGACACACGTGCCTGCTTCAGCCATTTTACACACACACATTTGATTCTAGAAAGCTATTCCGCATGACAGAGGTAGAGAATCGGGAGAAGCGTGAATAAGCAACCTGTTTTCCTTTGGACTCATTGCAAAGAGCTTGGCAATGATCCAGCAGAGGAAATCAGTTTGTCTTTACATTATTTTAAATCATACACAATACTTTTTAATAGACTGTTCTACCATTCAAAAGGCTGAAAACAATTTAGAAAGTATTTATGCTACAGAATGTGCTTCAGTATGCCCCTGGCATTGTTATACACTTCTCTTCTACTCCATAAAAGGTGGGGCCTCCATGATTAATGCCTAAATTTGCATCAGAAAAAAAAAACCTTCCTGGCTGGCTTCCTCCACCACTTCCTCTATGTAAAGTGAGACCTCACCACACCTGTGGGCCTTCCTTCCTTCTGGTCTGCTCCAGGTTCCTCCAAGGCGGATAATTCAGCTCTATCTCAGAAGATCAGTAAACTGATGCCTAAGGTCCAAATGTTCCTCTGAAATGTGCCAGGTTTACTTGGCAGAAACCAGACCATAGTCCCCACAGAGCGTTAAAAGGCTCTGTTAGTGACAGGATGGTTTTTTGTCTCTTCTGCTCTGGAAAAAAAAATACTCTGATGAAGTAAGGTGGTTCGATGCATGATTTTCCATTTGGACAGGTGGTGTTTCTTTGAAACAGATGCTGTTTGTTGGCTGTCACTGCATGTTTGGGGTTGGGTGAGGGACTGAGTTATTTTTCAGAAGCCCTAAGGTTGTGGATAAAGACCTACATGGCCAATACCAGTCACTAGGGAAAGGCAATTGGTAAATCCACTAATTATGACCTATTGACCCTTTCGTTGCTAACTAAATGTATCTGTTCTTCTAAACTGAAGTCTCTTTTATTATGATTAATACTCCCTCCAATTAGAGAGGATATGTTCAGATTGCCTAAGTAAGGGTGCATGTCCCATGTTTTACCAACCTAAGAAAAAATCCACACCAGATTTGCCTCAGTTAATGTCAGCTAATAACTCTCCTTCCTAAGTCATCTCATAGGAGTCTAATGGATTTACTAAGAGTTATACCCTAGTTAGGACATTGGCCAAAGACTGGTCTTTAACTGTGACTATGGTTACATGGAGTCTTGTCGTGTTTCTGTGATTATGACATGTATGTTGACTGTCGTGAGTCTCATCCATGCTAGATGTATGGGCCAATGGGACCAGAGCATAGTGTAGCTTCCCCCTGTGCCTCAGGAAGGTCTGAGACCCTCTCCATATGTTTTCCATTCAACTTTACAGATTTGCTTCTGAATACCTCCCCCACACAAAGTACTGTGCGTAACCCAGTGGTGGAGTGTGGAAAGAGATATAAGCCCAGCCTCTACATGATGCATAACCCAATGCAGCTCATAAGCAGAATTATGTGGATACTTGTTATTTTACCAGTGC